TGCTGCATTTTCCCAGTGCAGCCATGGTGGGACAAGATTGTAGCAGTAGCATTTTGAATGAACTTGAGGGAGCAAAGATGCAGAAGTCAAAGCTAGTGAGGAGGAGGGAACAATAGTCCAGGCACGATGAGGGCCTAGATGAGAGTTTTGGTGGCATGGACCGTTTTGCCTGAGTAATGACAGAGTAAAACACTCAGGATATGGCCCTTTTAAACAGTCTTCTACACACATGCATAAGGATCTTTAAATAAAGTGTGTAATTGTCATTTCAAATAAGAGGAGTAAAGCGCTACACACACCCTTTGCCTCTTTACCTGAAGATCTTATCAAACTAGATGACGCCTTTCTGGAACAATAGACAAGATTCTCAGCATAGCTCCACTGACTTAGTTAGAGCGACACCTGTTTACACTAGCTGGGGATCTGGCCCAATGGTCCTTCAGGACACAATGCCCACGTTTCAAACCTGGTTGTGCCTATAGCTGGGCAGGTAAATTCACAGTTAGGCACCTACATAAAAGGGGCCTGGTGTGAGATGGCTTCATCTAGAGCTGTGGGTGCTCAGCACTTCAAAAAACTAGGCCACTTACCTTTAAATCAGGGGTTCTCAAGCTGGGGATCAGGACCCCTCAGGGGGTTGTGAGGTTATTACATAGAGGTCGCGAGCTGTCAGCCTCCGCCCCAAACCCCGCTTTGCCTCCAGCATGTATAATAGTGTTAAATATATAAAAATCTGTTTTTAATGTATAAGGGGGGTCAGAGGCTTGCTATGTGAAAGGGGGCACCAGTACAAAAGTTTGAGAGCCACTGCTTTAAATGTATTCCTCTAAGGGCAAACTCCAGCATGAGTATTTTGTGTTAACGAGGGTTATTTAATATCGCACTAATAGGGCTGCAATTTGCAGATAGCTTCAGAAGTTTTTAAGGTCAGCAGGGACTATTATGCACATCTCAGCTGACCTCTCGCAGAACAAAGGCCCTGTGTGGTGGAACTAGAGCACATCTTCCAGTCTGGCTTTAATAATCCTAGCAGTGCAGAATCCACCACGTTTCTTGTTTCTAAGTTGTTCCAATGGTTAATTTCCCTCACTGATAAAAAAAAAAGTGCGCCTTATTTCTAGTGTAGCTTCAACTTGGACAGCCCATGTCTGTGTCTTGATGGTGCTGTAACTAGAATCTTTTTTTTTCTGTCCTCAAATCAGAGAGGTGTGTGATCAGTGCTAGTGTCCATTTTCTGCTCTATAAGTATGTATGAAACATCGGCACTCCGAAAATTGTGCACGTTCAAAGGAGAAGCTCTAGCTGTAATTGGTCAGCTGATGTTGAAGATTTTAATGTGTTAGCACTGGTGTGCTCCCAAACCCGATTGACACAAACGATAGCTGCACCCAACTCAAAAGAAGCCACATCAACAGCAAGAGTTACTAATTTAGCTGCGTCACAGGACATCAAGAAATTTCTGGCTATTAATTAATTCTTCTGAAAACTTTTGGGCATGTTGAATTTACCTCCTAGGTAACATTCTTTGATAATAGCTTCTTCAGGAGATTTACCAGTGTGAACATGCTAGAAATAGTTCTTTTTCTTGTAGTGAATTCCAGTAAAAGAAATGACTGTAGCTCTTTCATATTTGTGTTTTAATGGACAAGTTTTCACCACAGCTTCTACTGCTGAGATGTTGGGTGGATTCTTTGATTCAGCATTTACAGCAAATTCAACATCATCAGTGAAGAGTTTTATTAAGCAAAATCCTTGGACTTCTCAAATGTTATTCCTATACATCTAAATGTTTTGAGCCATCCCTCAAATTCTGGTAGTGTTCTTCATTTGTCCTAGTCATTGTTACGTCATTGACATAGTGTTGCACTAGTAGACTTTGTTCATCGATGACCGGAAAACAGCTGGCACCAAAATGGCACCCTATGGTATACCGATATAAACAAGCGCAAAGTGGGTGTAAGAAGGAACCAGCTGCAGCACTTTATATCCACTTTGCACTAGTGAAAATGACTGCACAAGGCTCACACAGCAGTGGAGAATCTGGCCTCAGGAGTCTATGCCAAAGTGATTTTATTTGTGGTTTTTATCCAGTTTTCATGTACAAAATTGTTGAATTATGTTCTGCTTCTAATTCAACATTGCATAGCCTAATCAGTACTGCAACGTCTAAAAACATTAGCTCATGCCAAGGTTCATTTCCAATTCCATTACCATGGACTAGTTCTCACCATTTATAATTACTTGTAAATATTCGAGCAATGACAAACAGAGAGGGTGGCATGATCCCTACTCCAAAGAGCTTGCCTGAGTCAGAGACATTCACTACAGTATAGACATAGAATATACACCGGCTGAACAACCTTTAGAGCAATCAGGCAGGTGTCTATTTTTTTTAAACTGTATTTGTCTTTGGCTGATTCATTGAAAATCTTCTTAGAAGTGCTTTTTAAATAGGGCTTTGAACTTCAGTTATGAGTTCAGAATGTTCTTACTGTTTTACATGCTTCAAATGTACAGCTAACTCATCTGTTCTAAACCGCTTTCTTCACAGAGTTGTCTTCACTTTCATTTGCAGGGCCAAATTCACTGTGGCCACGTCTTCATAGACTGTGGTGGAGTTCCACCTGCTTATGCCAGTGATGTGTTTGACTGTAGTCTCTGTTAGATATTTTGATATCTTTTATTTTTGCTTTTAAGTTACTTTGTTTTTTGCATAAATTTTTTTGGTTTCTCCTTCTTTTCGAGACATCCCCTTTATTACCCAGGCTGCTCTTCTGTTTGCATTTCCAGCCAACGTCCTTAGCCTCCTGCCATTTGTGAAATTTTCCATTTTCATACTAGCACATGCTACGTCAGCCGAGTGGCTTTTGTTTGCACAATGAAAACCAGGGGTTCTCAAACTGGGGGTCGGGACCCCTCAGGGAGTCGTGAGGTTATTATGTGGGGGGTTGCAAGCGGTCAGCCTCCATCCCAAACCCCACTTTGCCTCCAGCATTTATAATGGTGTTAAATATATAAACAAGTGTTTTTAATTTATAAGGGGGGGGGGTCGCACTCAGAAGCTTGCTATGTGAAAGGGGTCACCAGTACAAAAGTTTGAGAACCACTGATGAAAATATAAAATGTGCTTTGAATCTCTCTTCTGCACTTAGGTCAGTGCACATTTTTTACCCATCTGTCTGTTTCTCTCCAGGCCCATAGCTGACAACTAAGTCCACAACCTTTTCCTACTGTCAGTTCTGCTTCTGCAAGTGACTTCTTTCATGCTTCATGCAAATTAAACCCCTTCACAATCCACACAGGGGTAGGGTCCCAGAACCTGGGCTCCTGCTAGAGCCTGAACTTCTACGCCGCAATTAAACAGCCCCATAGCCCGAGCCCTGCAAACCTGAGGCAGCTGAGATGGGCCAGGCACGGGTGTTTAATAGCAGTGTAGACATACCCTCTGAGTACATTTCCCAGACCTGAAGAAGAGCTCTGTCTAAGCTTGAAAGCTTGTCTCTCACCAACAGCAGTTGGTCCAATAAAAGATATTACTCCCCCACCTTGTCTCTCTAATACCTTGGGACCAACATGGCTACAACACCACTGGATACTGGGGGGGGAAAAGGGAGATCTGGTCACTTAAGCCCATGGTACACCTCTCAGAGGTTACACTTAGGACGAGTTAGTCCTGGCATTCTGCACAGGTGACTCTAGGGGCAATGGCAAGCACAGTCTCCCTGTGCGCCCTTCCTCTAGAAGCTGCCAGAATGTAACCATCTGTATTCTGTTGTTTCTAATGCATTATATTGTGAGTGAATCGGTTATGTGTGTGTACGTGTACACATACACACACACACTCTCTCTCTCTCTCTGTAACACAGAACACTGTGTTCTGGTTTTTGTGTTAAAGCTTTTCATGTATTGTGTTTACTCATTCTTATTAACCACTGAGACATTGTAAATAAAATATGGATTTTCACCATACTGAGGACAAAAAGCTAGTTCAGCCATCAAAGTGAACCCAGCTGAGCTATGCTTAATAACTTGCACTTCTGTTATACCTCCAAATGCAATCCAGCTTCTTCAGTATCATTTGCTTAAAAAATGGTTGTCTTTTCCACGCACTTTCACTGCTCCTGTTCTTGTTTATAATCTGTTTTCTTGTATGCTGTCATTTTTGCCTGTGAAAAATACTAAACCAAATACTTAACTGGATTTCCCCCCCCTCTTTCAGCTTCACAGTAGGATATCATCCAGACTGTATTCCTGGATTATTGGTTTATAAAATATTGACAAACACCAGGAAGATGTAGCATATGAGATTCTAAGACATGCATGTGCATAATCCCTTTGATTTCATTGCCTTACATATTATTTCTTGAAACATCAATTTAAAAAACATGTGGAGTTTCTCTTACACAAGAAATCACTTGACCCTGGAGTGCTTCCAATTTACCGCCCAGTATTAATTAGTTAATCTTTGTAAAGGGACTTTAACTATGTAAAGTGCTATTTGAGTGCTAAGCACATGATCCTCAATCTAATTTGTTTGCAACCACTTCTTCATTACCTACACAGTCTTTAGGAGGCTGAGCAAAGGGGAAAAAATCCTCAGTTTAAATTTTAAAAATAAATGTAAACACAACAATTAATTGAAAAATAATACAACATGGTGGAGATAAATCTGAGAGAACCATTTTATCCTCTTCAGGCAGTTCCAAATCTGAAATTGCTTCCTTACTTTTATTGGTCTTTGATTTTTTTCTTTTATCTTCCTCTGCATTGTTCTTTTCTCTTTCTTGATCTTAAACCTTCCCTCTTCCAAATCCACTCCTTGTCTTAAAAAGAACCTTGTGACAGGGCCGCGGGGGGGCAAGTGGGGTAATTTGCCCCAGGCCCTGGGCCCTGCAGGGGCCCCCACAAGAGTTTTTCGGGGCCCCTGGAGCAGGGTCCTTCACTCGCTCTGGGGGCCCCGGAAAAGTCTCGCGGGGCCCAGGCCCCCTGAGCTTCTTCCGCTCTGGGTCTTCGGCGGCAGTTTGGCGGCGGGGGCCCCCTGCCGCCGAAGACCCCAGGCCCCCTGAATCCTCTGGGTGGCCCTACCTTGTGAAGCTGTGGAGTCACTTAGGGTTAGATTCTGACACCCTTCCATTGAACAGGATACCTCACTCTATGAACAGTCCCATTGATTTTCTAGGGGGCTGCTCAAAGAGAAAGGATTACTCTGCATAGGGGTGTCAGAATCTAGCCCATATAGAACCACCAGGACCAAAGCCAGCCCAGATATAGCACAAGGTAATTGAGGAAAACGGAAATGCAACCATTTGTACCACAGCTGAATTTCACTCAACAGATTTTAGCATGTCCCTCTGTTTCCTGCAGTGTTGTAGCTATATCAGTCCCAGGATCTTAGAGGTACAAGGTGAGTGAAGTAATCTCTTTTACTGGATAAAGCTTGTCTCTCTCACCAACAGAAGTTGGTCCAATAAAAGATATTACCTCACCCACCTTGTCCCACTGTTTCCGGAAACTCATTGTTCTAAACCTGGGTAACCAAATTCAGGGGCTTCATTTCAGATTTCAGTAGGGGAGGGGGCAACTTTCAGTGGGGGTCAAGAGACTGCTTAGTTCCCTTGAAACTCTTGGATAAAATGTAAAAATCCATAATTAGACTGTCCCCTTCACAGATGGGAGAGACCTCATTGTCCTTTTCCTGGAAAAGCTGACACTCTGTAGTAGAAGACATCAGCCCCCAATCCACTACTGGGCTGGAGCATTGCAGTGCAGCACAGGGGGGCTGGGACCAGTCATGCCCTATAATCTGCAGGGTGCAAGGGAAATGTTGGCTTTGTTTATGGAGGTGATTGGGCTCCTCTCAGCCACGGTACCCTGAGCCAGCCCTCTCACCATGCCCACAACAGAGGAGTCCTGCCTACATCCATTAAACTGAGCACTTTCCACTTGTCACACGTGAGACAGAAGATCCATGTCAGATCATCTGCTTCATTGATTCCCTAGCAACCTATACTTCTGGCCACAAATTTGCAAGTCACAGCTTCTGGCCCCAAGTGCTGGGGCCAGTCAGTGGCAATGGAGTGTGGCAGCGGATGAGGTTGGAGCAGAGCTGCAGTCAGACAGGTGGGTCCCTGCAGCTGGGCTGCGTAGGTTGGGGAGTGGAGGCTTCAGGTTGCCCATGGGGCTCCAAACACCAAAGGTTTCAGAGAGCAGAGCTGGTCTCTGGATCTGGTGTCTGAGTTGTTCACACATGGTAACTGCTCACACATTTCAACTCTCCCTCCCCCATCTCCCCACCCTACCTAAATGATGCCCCTGACCAAATTCCTGTTAAGCTCTCAATACCTATTCCTGCCTTTATAAGCAATATTCTTCTTTATATTTATATTTTTTAAACTGTACTTAATTTGTTCCAGTTCCCTCAAGCATTCCAGAAAAGCTCCTTACTGCTCAAGAACAGCAAATGTTGCACATCTTGTGACAATGGTATTTATGCCATGTCATTAGATGGCATTCAGCCTGGCTCCTCTTTTCTTTTTTCCCCCATTGGTTTTATCCTTTATCAAGTCCATTTTTACTGATGGGTCTGGTTTGTGTTTTCTTTCATGCCAAATAAACTGAAATCAGCACTTCCTTGCTGACTCCTGAGGTCTTAAACATGGTAGGAAACTATTTTATTCAGGCAGCTTGCTAAATTTCAACTTGCATGAGTAGCAGTTACTCAATGCTCTCGCTCAAGATTTTGATCATTTTAAATGTGTATTTGCAATTCATTTATATCACAATTGGTGATTTGTACAACTCTCTCCTTTTTTAAAATTTCAATCTTGTTTCCAATGTGTTGGGCATTTACCTTATTTAGTTCAAAGGAAACAGGTATATAGAGGAGACTGTTCTTGATTGCAACTTTATTCACTGCATTCCCACAAGTAGAGTAGTAGCCCTGCCTGGAATCTGGCATCAAAATAGTGCTAGCTAGAGATTGCTTCTGGCACTATGATAATATTCATAACAAGAGACCCAAGAGATGGATACTCAGGAGAGGTGAAAAAGAAGCTAGGTATGGGGAAGCTGGAGGCCATGAGAGGGGCGGGTGGAAAATCAGGGATGTGAAATTGGGACAATATATGGTTGTCTTCTGCCCACCCCGCAATGATCAAATACCTTTGCAGGAGAGTGTGTGTATGTATATTTGTTTGTGTGTGTGTGTTCACATAGATACACAGAGGTGGATGATGCATGTTACCAGCAACTCAAGGTTATATAAACAGGGATTCCAGATTCCCAAAAATAGAGGAGGAAGATTTTTAGGCAGCAACATACCACAAAAAAAAATCCAATTTAACAAAACTATTGGTGACTTCCACCATATTTCCAGCTGGTGACTATTGGTTTGTCTGAAAAGCCAGGCCCCCTTACAGGACTGTTTAATGGAAAGTGCAGCATATCTTGGAAGGCAGCTTGGACAGTGGACAGGAGTACATGTGGTATGGGCAGGAGTGCATGAGGGCAGGTCTATAAGAAGCTGCAAAGAACTTGGTTTCTCTCTCCCCCCACATATTGGTTCCACATTGGATTGCTCTGTACACCAGTTTACAGGACCATATCCCTTCCTCTGCTAGATGGCATGTCGCAAGGTCCAAAAGGTAGTGCTCAGATGTTGGAGGAGGTGGGGCTGCCTACAAGCTGAAACCTGGCTTGCTTGAGGTGGGTTCCCATGTGACTTATCTAATTTAGCAAAGTCTGAGTTAGCAACATTTTGCCAAAATGATGGCAGTGCAGGCAGGATCCAGCAAGACCTCATGGATGATCCAGGATTCTTGCTCCCTCTAACACTGGAGTGTAAAAGGAGAGAAAACCCCCACCGCTCTCCAGAGATCCCTTTAATATTAACTAATCAATGGATCAGCTGCCAATAAATTATTATTGTAATAAAAACGTGGTATGTTCTGGTTGCATGGCAGATGCTCTCTCTGCCCCCGACACGCCAGAGCAACTCCATCCCAACGCATCTTGGAATGCTGCAGAATCACCGGGTCACTGGTGTAACATAGTTGGAAGGGAAGAGACCCAATTTGCCACGCAGGCGCCCTTTCCACCAACACGGGTTAGAGTTGTCCAGGACTTCTACGATGTCTCCACTGCGGAATCCTAGCTCATCACACTCCAATGCCTCAAAGTCATACAGGGCTTGGACCCATAGTGTTTGCTGAGGAGGAGGAGACAGGAGAGGTCAGACACAATTCTTATGAATCTCCCCCACAACACGAACCAAAAAGAGCAAGAAATGCAACGCTGGGATATGAAACCATGATACCAGTATGGAATTCAGTGGAAGAGCCATCAGGACCCCAGAAAGTAGAGCCTGAATAAGAGAGATACCTGAGGGTAGGTTCAAGTTATCAGGAATCCCCAGTATCCCTCTCAATATATTCGCTCCCCAAAGTAGAACTCAAGTGGCTGGGGCATACAGGAATGGCGCACACGCCACGGAAACTTCTTCGAAAGTGACAGGGATGTGCGACATCACATCAGGTATAATACACTGTTCCTCCTCCTGACCTCTCCCAGAGAATAGTAAACCTCCTAGCCTCTATAGTGGTTTCCTTGAGAGAAGGGATCAGGTAGATGACAGGGGCATATAATGCAAACCACCTACCTGTGATTGTTGAAATGATGGTTCGGTTTGTCTCCGGTACATGGATGCTGCACTCCCTTCTCCATGGTCTCTGAGGCGATGAAGCCCATCCTTCCTGTCCAGGCTCCCACCACCTCTGTCCTAGAAAGTGAGGTGCAAGAGAAGAGCCATTAATATACTCCGATGTGCAACTGGACTGGGGTGGGGATTCAGTTACTGGGTACCAGGGTTTCAGGATCCAGTCAGTGCATATGTCACCTAATGCCGCCGAGTAATTTCTTGTCTCCATTTATTAGGTCTTTGTTTCCCAGGTGTTCATTGGGCTGCAAGCAACACACTTAACAGGAAAGGACTCCTTAGTCTGTGCCCTTTGGTTTGGACCAAGAATCTCAAGCTGGGCAGTTGGGTACAGCTTCCCAATTTCCTTTCTCAGTACCTAGCATTTCAAATGCCCCTTTGGTCATGCCTGCACCTTAGTCAGCCTAAAAGGTCAGTGTGACTGGATCCCACTTTGCATGTCAATTGTCCCTGTCTGGAAGTGTCAGAGTGAGTCAAACTCAGAGACACAGGATTCATTTTTATTTTTTTTTGGTATACTTTTCTCTTACAAGTATTTCTGCTCTGTATCAAATATGACTCATGGAAGATTTGTCTCAAAGGGCCCAGGCTCCAATCTTGTGACAAGTTGTATTATTCTACCAACAGTCCACTTCTTATATTACGTTGCTCCTGAATGATGGGGTATAGAACTGGCCTCTCCCAGAGTGTCCTTGGCCCTCCTCTATTGGGACTCTCTTGCCCTATGAGGCTTGGTTTTGGATCTCTTCCCCTAGCGGGAACAGTCTTCTCCTCAGATGAGGCCAATATAGTTGCAGCATCTCCTGCTACAGACAGGAGGCAGCCCCTCCTCCCCATGGTAGCCATTTCCCACCCAAATTAATATGGAACAATTGTAGAGGCAGCACCATGCACTGCTCTTTCCTCCCATCCCTACAATAAGAGCATTTTTTGCATGCACCTTCACCATCTCTGCCCAGCCCCAGGACTGAAGGATAACACACTGGGAACTCCCAGCAGAGAAAGAGAGAACCCAGGACTCACATCAGAAACAGGGAGCATGTGGAATGTGCTCAAAGAAACCAAACTTTCCCAATGGTAATCAACTCATTTCCCATTCCCAACATGCACCATGGTGCCGAATCTTATCACCACAACACAGCAAAAGAAACGGGCTGCACAGTTGGGCTTGTCCTAGAGACTTCAGAGGCTTTCCTAGATAGGTGTGTGGGTGAGTGTTGGTCTGTGCTCCCAATATGACTTTCAGTCTTGTCCCAAGCTCAACATTTTGCCATACTTGGCCATTCTTGCAAGACTGGGTTTGCTGTTCCCAGCCCTCCAGTTAGAGTGTCACTTGCCTGTTGAGTTAGGATTTTTGCAGGTCCATCCCATAAACTCTGATATTAGAGGACAAAATAGAAGTTCACATATTTATTTCAGTCCACCAGATGTCACCATGCTGACACTATACATTGATGCTACATCACAATGTGAAGAAGCAGTCATGGCGATGCACTTAAACAATTAGATAAACAGCCCGGCTCCTAGTGAGCAGAGACCAGCATGTTCTGCAGCCCAGGCTCATCCCAGCTAACTCCTCTTTCCCAGTGATACCTGTTGCTGCTGCTGCTGCAGGGGTGGTGAGGGATCTGCATATCTCTTGGACATTGATGCTCGGATTTCTCCAGCTGCTCCACTCAGGCGGAGTCCTTCCTGTAGCCCCCGTTCCAGGCTCCCACCACGCCTCTCCGTTGGGGGGGGGGGGGGAGAGAATGATAAAGGTTGGGCCAGGTCTGCTTCCCACAATGCCCTTGCTGGTATTCTGGCAATCAGTACTCTGTCCCTTTCCCTCCCCAGATCTCTGTCCTCCCACTACTCTCCCTAATCCTAGGGCCTATGCAAAGGAGGACTTCTGCTCCTCTGAACAAATTGACAAATCTGGGATCCTGGATTTTGTCTCTTCACCACAGCCACTCCCCCTCAGAAGTGCAAGTGGGGATTTGGGGCTGTGAGCCCAAATACATGGATGGGTTTGGAGCCTGCATTTGTCCCCTCACTACACACACAAGGTGAGTTGGGCCCCAGTGTTCCCTCCAGTAAACAATCATGTGTGGCTGAGGCATTTTACAGAAAGAGAAGAGCATGTCTGGGGCCTGTTTACCCACTGTAAATAAAAGTGGTTGTGAGGCCTTGTGTTTGGTTAACTGCCCAGACCCAGACTTTCAAGGGCTCAGCACCCGCAATGAAGCCAGATTTTCAGTAGAGCTCAGGATCCAATATGCACCCCAAGGGCTGAGCTCGTTTGAAAACTCTGGCCTCAGACTTAATTTGTCTCTGCATCTGGCTCTACTTATTAATTATTATTATCATTGCTGTAGTGCCTATGAGCCCCAGTCGTGGCCCAAGACCCCATGGTGCTAGGCGCTGTACAAACCCTCATCACCACAGTAATGCAGTGGAGCATTGGCTGCAACCTCCCCTCCCCTAGTCTTTCATTTACTTGTCTACATCTTGGCACAAATATCATCCCCCTTCCTCCCTCTCCTTGCTCTGAGCCACCTTCAACAGATTGTTTTACTAATACAATATCTCCTGCCCTGTGCAGACTTCCTCTGCTGTCAGCTCTCTCCTATATGTGGCCTCCCTTACAGCTAGGTAATGCTTTAAAAAAAAGCCAGATAAGTGGTCTAGAAGGAGTCAACAACACAGAACCCTTTATCAGATTGAAAAACCCTATGGCCCTTTTGTAGCTGAAAAGAATGTCCCACATGGAGCTGATAAAACTTTATTGCCACAATGAACAAGTCATGTATTTTCTGCCTTGTCTCTAACCACACATCCTGGTAATTTAATGCCAGAGTCCGCTTCCTGGTTAAGCAGTGCTTCCGTTACTGTAGTTACCATGTGTTTTCTCTCTCTTTCTCAGCATTGTGTGTGCAATGGCTGGCAGCCTGTGCTGCGTCATTCCCTCATTTTCCTGGCACAGAACCACCAAATGGGCATTCGGTGAACAGGGATTTCCCTGCTTCCACAAACATCTTTTGTTGCTTCTTCCTTGAACTCACAAACTGTGCTCACATCTCTGGAATTCTGGGACAACTTTATGCCCCTTTTTTGCCACCCCTTCTACCTCCTGTCCCCAATTCCTCCACAATACCCTGCTATGTTCTGTAACTAATAAGAGAGAAGCAATTCCTCAATGCAGTCAAACGTTCAGCTATAACAGTGGCAGCACCCAAAGTCCATTCAAGGAGGGAAAGAAACCAAATTCAATTTTTTCTCTTAATTCTGCCAATAAACTCAGTTTGCCCTGTGATCCCCTTCCTGTTGTATCCCTGAGCCCCTAAACACATCAGTGTTCCTGCAGCTACTCTGTACCACCCCTTCTTAAAGCTAGACCTGGCTCCCCTTATTCATGCTGATGCACCTCAATCCTGACCTGCAGCATGTCCTGCAGTTCCAGTCCTTGGGCCCCTACACAGCTCTGGCAAAGCCTCTCAGTCCTGATTTGCAGCATTCCCTGATGCAGACTTCAGCTTGTCGTAAATGGAGACAGCGAATCTCATTAAGTTACATAATGTGTTTATGATGCAATCAATCAAAAATCTAGGCTGAGAGGCCCTCCAATCTAGAGACCTGACTGGGATTCTACTGAAGGTCTCCAGAAGCAACATTCTAGCACTAAATTCATCCCATGAGATGGCTTTCTCCACTTGTGTTTTTCAGGGATGGTTTGAGAACCCTGGGCATACCTTCTCTTCTTGGCTCCCATCTCTCAGGAATATCAGCTTCTGCCTGGAGATAGAGGAGGTCTTATAGTACTCCACCAATTTGTTTAGTGACTGGAATTTCTCTGTCCATAAGTAGTAGTTGCCCTTTGTATCCCTCATCACCCTGAAGTGCTGGACATCATCCTCATGCCTGTGATCAAGTGGAGAAATGAACATCAGACGATAATTTTACTTTCCTCATATACCTTTAATCCAAAAGCCCTTTGCAGACTCTGGACCAAATTTGGACTCGTGGAAAGTGAAGTCAGTGGCATTGCACCTGGATACACTGGATCTGAACGTAACCCTGTATGTAAAGGAATCACTCACCAACCAGAAAAATGCAGCTGCCTTGAGGATGCATGGCCAAATGGGAGAATCAGTACAGGGCACTGGGGCTCAGACCTTTACTTTCAAAATAAGGGTCATGGGATCTTTTATGACCACAAATGGTTAGAAGCTTCATTCTGCACCTTATTTAAAAGAGGGCAAGGCAGCAGCACGGTGCCCGTTAACAAGTGGACCTGTGTTGGCTCTAAGCAAAGAGCGCCACCAGATTATAACCTTACCTGAGGTATTTTTCCTCAGGTTAATCCCTAGACAAGATGGGGCAAAGGACTGAGATTTACCCCTTCATACTTGTTGCATAACGTCCACCAGCGCCCAATGGAACAACGGATTCCCTCTGAAGAACTGTCTGCAGTCCCAGTGCCATGCAGGGCCATGCTGGGTTCACGCAGGAGGGGGCAGTGTTGGGTTTGAAACAAAGGCTGAGAATGGCTGGACTAGAATAAGTGGCTGAAAAGGGAAACAAGCATAGGGAGTAAGAGGCCCAGGGGGCTGGGAAATGGAGTCTTTTTGATTTATTAGTCAATGTTCATACAGCATTTCAGTATTCAAAGTGCTACATAAATGCTAAGGATTTTTATTATCATAATTGTTAAGCTGCTGGTTCCTGTGCAATTTGGTCAACAGCGATTGAAAGCCATTCCCGTCTGGTGGCTGCTCAGTGGCCTATGTGAAATAAATTAATGGTGCAAGTCACCTCCTAATGGATATTAAACAGCATTCTTGGCCAGTAACTAAAGCCATTAGGCAAAAAAAAAAAAAAAAAACAACCCATACCTGAAAGGCACACGTTTTGCATGGTGGGAGATGGCCCACAGAATGCGCTCTGCTCTGCTTCAGAAGGAGCAGGACAGCTGGGGTTGTGATTTTGGGATGGGGTATTTGCTGTGTCACTTTAATGGAAAAAGAAACATCCAAGAAGCAGATGCCTCACTTGTTTCCATTGACTGGCACCACGCAAGCTTCCCAAGGCACTGCCATCCTGTCAAGGGGAGGCTAAGGACAGCAGCATTAACCAGAAACAGCAGAAAGATACTGTAAGTAGCAGGTACCTGACAGAGATGGAGAAATCACCAGGGGAGTTCTGGCTGGCTCGGATGATGAAAGAGCCGACTTCCTTGCTCATGAGTAAGTTCTCTGCCTCATGGCGGGATATCCCTTCATTAAACCAGCTGTCAAGGGGAATAAATCACATGCATGTGAATAAGGAAATGGATTAGAGAAAAAGAAGGGAAGAGATGAGAGGAGGGTTGGGAATGAGCAGAGGTAGGGGAAGGAGAAGGGAAAGGGACTAGAGGGTTCGGTAGGATTGTCTCCTGCTAACAATGCATGTTCTCGAAGTATGGTGTATAGAAACAGAGATGGAGAAAATGGCCCTTTATGAAGACCAAGTTCCTTCCCCCTTCCCAGTGTCCAGCCTGAACAACTTTCAAAATGAGGAGCTGCTGCTGCTCAGAAAAGGATCAAAGTGGAAATGTTTCAGCCCAGCTATTACATCTGTGTGTGTGAGAGGAAAAGGTTAGTGAAGACGTAATTCCTATGTGAGATGCATAATGAATGGGCTGATTCCACTGCTCCAAGTGTGCCAGGGAAAAGCTGATAGCGTAACACCCTGGGGGCACCTCAGCAAACCCTGTACATGCAGCATGGAAGGAGAGAACTTTGGCGCCAAAAATACAGGCCTGTATTTGCTTGTTGAGCTAACAGAGCAAGTCCCACAGCTCAGCCAGTAGATGGAATTCACACATAATGACATACATACATTATCACCAACTCTCAGGATTTTTTCCACCAGCGACATAATTTTGTCTGGGGCTGGAGGAACCAGTCTGGCAACGACCTTGCGTGAATTTAAGCCCTCCAACTGGCTGCCTGCCCCACTTGCCTGCCTCCTGATACTGAGCAAGCAATCAAAGCTACTACAGGAAGAGCTACCCCCCACCCCATAGCAATATGAAGCCATTCTCACAGGAGGGGAGGGAGCAGAAGCAGGGCCGGCTTCTGGCACCAGTGCAGCAAGCAGGTGCTTGGGGCGGCCAACGGAAAGGGGCGGCACGTCCGGCTCTTCGGTGGCAATTTGGCGGCGAGTCCCTCAGTCCCTCTCAGAGGGAAGGACCTGCCACCGAAGAATGAAGCGGCAGGGTAGAGCTGCCGCCGAAGTGCCACCAATCGCGCCTTTTTTTGTCCCTGCTGCTTGGGGCGGGGAAAACGCTGGAGCCGGCCCTGAGCAGAAGCCCCCAGCAGTTCCGGATGGTGCCACTCCTTCCTCTTCCCAGCCCTCCTGTAAGCAACTGGCACAGGATAGCGCTTCTGCTCCTCCCCCGTTTCCCCTGCCACCGCCAGCCTGGTAGCAGCAGAAAGGGCATAGGGGAGCAACAACCCCGCGGCAGACCCCCAGACCTGGGAGAAGGGGGCGAAGAACACCAGGAGGAGAAGAAGTGAGGCTGGGGGGCTGACCTGACAAGGTGTGGGTCTGGAGGGGCTGAACAGAGGAGATCTGAATTTATGGGGATGGGGACGGAATTGCTGGGCAGTGGATGGGCAGATATGGAGGTGAGAGCTCCTGCAGCAGGGCCAAAATCACCTTATCTAATCCATTTGAGAGCATGGGCAACATTAATTGTCTCACACACCCTGGGGATGGGCAGGGGGAGTTCAGAAATCAAAGACAGACCAAAACACACAACTTTTGGGCCAATCTCATGATTTTTGGAGGGATCTGACTCGTGATTTTTCTCTTGAGACTGGCAATACTGCAGGTCTTCTAAATTCCATCCAACAGAGGGCAGTGGCACACAGGCATTCCCAGAGAGAACAATCCCTCCAGTACCTACAGGAGCAGCTCTTCTAACATCTGCCCTAGGGTAATAATATGCAAATAATCAGGGCCGGCTTTATGACCCGCGGGGCCCGATTCCAATATCCGGTGGTGGTCCGGGTCTTCAGCAGCACTTCGCGGCGGGGGGTACCGAAGGACCCCCTGCTGCCGAAATGCCACCGAAGACCCCTGGAGCAGGGCACTGTTAGGCGCGGGGCCCGATTCTGAGGAATTGGGTGAATCGGCTTAAAGCCGGCCCTGCAAATAATAATAATAAAAAAAATCTTAGTTGGCAATACACTTGACAGTGTGGGGAAAAGCCCCCAGCATCCTCTCTCCTGCAATGCTGCTGCAGCACTTTCGAAGAAGGAGGGATGGGGGGCCTGTAGCTTCAGGGAGGATTTCTGTGAATCTAAAGAGAAGGATTGTAAATCCGTTACACAGTAGTATTTAGCATGTCAGGCTAGTGCATTTTGCTATGCATTTAGATTCACAGAAATCCTTCCTCAACTGCAGTCCTCTCCATCCTGCTCCTCTTCAATTTGCTGTAGCATCAGTGGTTTGAGCATTGGCCTGCTAAACCTAGGGTTGTGAGTTCAATCCTTGAGGGGCTCATTTAGGGAACTGGGGTAAAAATCTGTCTGGGGATTAGTCCTGCCTTGAGCAGCAGGCTGGACTAGATGACCTCCTGAGGTCCCTTCCAACCCTGACATACTATGAATCACAGTGGAGAGCAATGTGGGAAAGACCTCTTCCTCAGTGATCTAGAGCAAGCAGGGGGGTCTTCAAAGGAGCAGGAAGAGTTGACAAGGCGGGGATGACATGTGCCTGGCCTATCATCACTGACAATCAAGGTTTAGATAATAGACATTGCTTTTCATATAGCATCACACTGACCTCTAGTGGATAGAATGAAACTCACATATGTGGGGGGGTGGGGGCTGGGTATTAACAACAGGGCTTAGAGCAGGGGTGGGCAAACTATGGCCCGCGGGACTGTCCTGCCGTGCCCCCGAGTTCCTGGCCCAGGAGGGTCGCCCCCAGCTCCTCCCCTGCTGTCTCCCCTCCCCCACAGCCTCAGCTTGCTTGCTCCGCCGCTGGCGCAATGCTCTGGGCGGTGGGGCTGTGAGCTCCAGGGGCAGCGCAGCTGCAGAGCCCGGCCTGACCCGGTGTCTGTGCTGTGCGGTGGCGGCGGCAGCAGCATGACCCGGCTCCAGCTGGGCAGCATGGCTGTTATGCCACCAGCCACCAGTGCTCCAGGCAGCGCGGGAAGGGAGCAGGGGGGATTGGATAGAGGGCAGGGGAATTCGGGGTGGTGGTCAGGGGGTGGGGGTGTGGATAGGGGTCGGGGCAGTGGGGGGGGAACAGGGAGAAGGGGTGGTTGGATGGGGCAGGGGTCCCGGGAGGGGGCTGTCAGGAATGAGAGGAGGAATTGGATGGGGCGGTGGGGGTCCGGGGGCGGTCAGGGGACAGGGAGCAGGGGGGGGGAAATGGGACAGGGGTCGCGGAGGGGGGGGCGTAAGGGAACGGGGGGTTGGATGGGGCAGGAGTCCGGGGGGGGGGGGAGGAGTAGGAGGTGGGGGCTGGGCTATGACCTCCTCCCCTAACCGGCCCTCCATACACAAAACCCGATGCGGTCCTCAGGCCAAAAAGTTTGCCTGCCCCTGGCTTAGAGGGAGGGCTTTTACCTTTCTATACCCTGTTTAGAGAGAGAAAGCCCCTAGTCTTCCTCTTCTACCTGGCCTTTATCACTGTCAAGACCCCATATCATTAACAACTCTCCTGTCCAAGAACAGCAAAATGTAGCTCAGGGGTGGGTAAACTTTTTGGCCTGAGGGCCACATTGGGGTTGCGAAACTGTATGGAGGACCAGGTAGGGAAGGCTGTGCCTCCCCAAACAGCTTGCCCCCCGCCCCCTATCCACCCCCTCCCACTTTCCTGCCCCGACTGTCCCCCTCAGGGCCCCCAACCCATCTAACCCCCCTGCTCCCAGTCCCCTGACTGCTCTGACCCATCCACACCCTGCCCCTTGACAGGCCCCCCCCCTCCCTGTCCCCTGACCGCCCCCTCCTGGGACCTCCTGCCTCTAACTGCCCCCCGGGACCCCACCCCTATCCAACCCCCCTCCCGTCCCCTGACCACCCCCTCACCGCCCCCTGGGACCCCACCCCCTATCCAACCCACCCCCAGCTGCTTTCGGAATGTGGCCCTGCGAACATGGCCGGAGAACTCAGGAAGAGCAAGAGCAGCCGCACAGCTGGAGAGAAGCGGCGGTTTCCCCTTCAAAGCGCCGCTTCTCTCCGGCTGGCTTGCGTGGCCGCCCGGTGCTCCTCCTGAGTCATAGAATCATAGAATATCAGGGTTGGAAGGGACCTCAGGAGGTCATCTTGTCCAATCCGCTGCTCAAAGCAGGACCAATCCCCAGACAGATTTTTTGCCCCAGATCCCTAAATGGCCCATACAAGGATTGAACTCACAACTCTGGGTTTAGCAGGCCAATGCTCAAACCATTGAGCTATCCCTCGCCCCATCCCTCCTCCAGCCTGTGCTCGCTGCACTCCTGTCGCCCGCACCTCCCACCTGCTCCCTTGAGGCTGCTCTCCCCAGCGCCCCCCAACTCCCACGGGGGGTGTGCCAGTGCTGAGCTGCCCGGCGGCACAGTGAGCTGAGGCTGTGGGGGAGGGGGAACAGCGGGGGAGGGGCCGGGGGCTAGCTTCCCCGGCTGGGATCTCAGGGACTGGGCAGGACGGTCCCGCGGGCCGGATGTGGCCTGCGGGCCGTACTTTGCCCACCTCTGATGTAGCTCCTACCACATCCTAGCAACAGTAACAAGGGAATCACTTGAGAGTGACAGGAGTTTTGGGGCTGTCAGGACTAAAATAGCACGGGGTGCTACAGGCAGGGCCGGTGCTACCATTTAGGCCAACTAGGTGGTTGCCTAGGGTGCCAAGATTTGGGGGCGCCAAAAAGCAGTGCCCCCAATTTTTTTTTTACATTTTTTACATTTTACGCGCACAGACACAGGGAAACCCCTGGGCTGCCGGTGGCGCGCAGACATAGGGGAACCCCTGAGCTGCCTGCCGGCAGCTCAGACTCCCTCTCCTTCCCAGCGCATCGGCTGCTCCATCCCATGCGATTCTTCTCATTGCTGGTGGGGGCGCCAGTGGCTGGGCAGAGCTCCACAGCTCTGCTTAGCGCACGTGGCACAAGCCCGGCAACAGGCACGACAGCAGGGCTTCTGGAGGAAAGGGGCGGCTGCCTCCTGGCTCAGCCTCCACGGTCAGCCTCAGCGGGGGGCACGGAGAAGAAAAGAGCCTCAGGCGGCGGTCTGGTGGAGCGGAGGAAGAAAGAGGACCCCGACGCCTGTGCCTTGGACAAGGTAAGCGCTTCCCCACAGCTCGGCCTCAGGCGCCTGTGCTCCTGCCTCCTTTGTCCTTGGCTGGTCCCTGCTCCTGCTCCCCTTGTGCATGGGCGGCTGGAGAGGACGGCAGCCTGCAGAGCTGAGCTGCCCCAGTGCCACCCTCTCCCTGCTCCAGCCTCTATCATGCCCGGTATCTGAGTTCACGGCCGCCAGGGGAGGGTGGGGGGCAAGTGGGGCAATTTGCCCTATGCCCCGGGCCCTGTAGGGGCCCCCACGCGTATATTGGAGGCTCCCCCTGCCCCACGAGTATGTCGGAGGCTCCTGGGAGAGGGGGTAAGCGGCATGGTAAGGGGCCGGGGCCGGGCACCCCCCGACCCCATCCCCCACAGCCCTGACCCCCAGCTCCGAGCCCAGCCCCTCTGAGCCGGGCACCCCCCGACCCCATCCCCCACAGCCCTGACCCCCAGCTCCGAGCCCAGCCCCTCTGAGCCGGGCACCCCCCGACCCCATCCCCC